AAAAATTTCGTAGGTTTTGAATATTTTGTACTTTTCTAAAATCCTGAAAATTTAAAAAAATCTTGAAATTTTTGTTAATATGAGACCATGAGAATATCAAACATTTTCTAAATTTCACAAATTTGAAAATTTTCAAGAATTTTAAAATTGTGTTACTTTGTCAATTTTGAAAATTATTTTCATAATTTTCAAAAAAATTGTACCTTAATCATGTCTATAATTAAAAAAAAAACTGAAAATTATTCTATAATTTTCAAGAAACTATAAATTTAAAAAAAATTTAAAACTTTCAGAAATATACATAATATTTAAAACCTTCAAAACTTGAAAGTTTTAATTTTTTTTTTAATTTTATAGTTTTCGTGAAATCTTGAAAGTTTTGTTCGAGAAAATCCAAAATTTTCGAAATTTCACAAATTTGGAGAATTTGAAAATTTTGAAGAATTTGAAAATTTTGTTACAAAACTTTAAAATTTATTATCATAATTTTCAAGTTTTAAAAATTTTGGAGGTTTTTGAATATTTTGTCTTCAAAATTTATAAAAATTTAAAATTGTCTTACAAAACTTATTTCCACAATTTTCAAAAAAAACTGAAAATATATTGTATATTTCTAAAATTTTAAAAATTTAAAAGAAAGTTTTGATAATTAAATAATTGGAAAGTGAAAATTCCACAAACTATAAAATATTGAAATTTAAAATATTAAAGATTTTGATAATTTTAATAATTTTGAAATTAATTTACATTATAAACAAAACAACAATCACCCGCAATAAGAAAAATTGTTGTTTTCTGATATATAACTTTTACTGTTATAACAAAAACATTATTTTTGTTAAATAAAACCTAAACCAACTGTGCTATACATCAACATTATTAATAAAAAAGTTGATCACATAAGTCACCGAAAACTTTCCATGTTTTCGGTCGACAATAAACTTTTTTTCAAATATCAGCAAGGCAGACAATATCGAACCGATGCAATCTCGTCTAGAGGCAGTTACTTTGCTTTTGCCCGTCTGCAAAAATCCATAAAGACATAACACTTAATTGCATTATACTTTAACTCCCACAGTCTAGAACAATCTTTGTTAAAAGGCTTGTTCTATTCCACTCCACACCGACACACAACCTAAATCTATTAGTTATTTACGAGTGAAGTGGTCTAGGTCTAGGATATTTATCAACTTAAATACACAATCGATCCACACAAATTTTCGATGAATTTCAATCGCAAATAACTTTTATATTTGATGTCGGATTTAAACGAATATTAAAGAATATTGTAGATACATTAATGGAGAATCTCTCACATTTTAAAAATGACTAAAAAATACACGTACGTTTATAATATACAGGTTTAAACAAAAAGATGTTTTTGACCATAAGTTTAAGACACTCTGTAGAGTGGCAAAACCGTATATTGTTCTAAATTAAGTTTTATTTATCAAGTCACATCTATTTTTAACAGTTTTGTTTTTGGTTCACCTTGATATATTTATTTTTGTGGAAAATATGGATTTTTTTAAAAAACATTGCAATTTCCAATATTTTTCCTGTATGAAGAACTAAGGTTGCTATGGTCCATCCATAGCCTATGGAGGATGACAGTGACAGTTTTGTTGAATCATCCCATACTTGGACATGTCATATACAGCTTTCAAAAGCTATCAAATTGTTTTTTGTAAATTAATGTGTTAATTTGTTAAAAATGTCTCCGACTGATGTTGCCCTTTGTACTTTACTTCTTGTGACGTTTAAAACACTTGCCACGTAATACTGTGACCGTCCATCCTGGATTAAATTAATGGCTCTGGCAACATAATTCGGAGACATATCCATTTTTTAAAGTAAGAAGACACCTCAAAATTTAAACATTAATTTGCAAAAAACAATTTGATAGCTTTTGAAAGCCGTGTATGACATGCCCAAGTATGGGATGATTCAACAAAACTGTCACTGTCATTCTCCATAGCCTATGGATGGACCATAGCAACCTTAGTTCTTCATACAGAAAAATATTGGAAATTGCAATGTTTTTCTTTAAATCCATATTTTTCACAAAAATAAATATATCGAGGTGAACCAAAAACAAAACTGTTAAGAATAGATGTGACTCGATAAATAAAACTTAATTTAGAACAATATACGGTTTTGCCACTCTACAGAGTGTCTTAAACTTATGGTAAAAAACATCTTTTTGTTTAAACCTGTATATTATAAACGTACGTCTATTTTTTAGTAATTTTAAAATGTGAGCGATTGTCCATTAATTTATCTACAATATTCTTTAATATTCGTTTAAATCCGACATCAAATAAAAAAGTTATTTGCGATTGAAATTCATCGAAAATTTATGTGGATCGAATATTTTGCCTGTGAGTGTATTAATTTAAAAAAGTTTTTTTTGTTTCGGTTCATATACAGGGTGTTACCGAATAAGTTTTCATCCTTAAGTTTTTATTCTATCATTTTTGCATTTGTTGCATTTTTTTATAAAAAAATCATTAAAATTTTAATACTGGTTGTTCCTGACGCAAAATATGCTTGCACAGTGGGAAATTTTTCTATCATGTAACTGGTTCGATATTTTTTTCCTTGCCAACAAATATCTTTCTCAATAGTACCTAGTTTTTCCGTAAGTTCCTGATTTCCGTACATACATAGTTTAAAATATTATGAAAAACATTATGAATAAGTAAAAAAAGAGGAATATGATAAAGTAGTTTATTCGACACTGCAGTTGCACTGTACACGGCATTATGAATAAAAAAAACAAGGACACAATCCCTAGGAAATCGTAATAAAAGAGGATCATTTTAATTTTTGGCAAAAAAATGCAACTTTCGAAAAATTTTTTGTCAAAAATTATTAGCATATATGCGTACTAGATCTAGCTAGTTACCTTTACAGGCAAAGCTTACCTTGTTTTAATTCCGAAATGTTTCACAAGATTCTAATCCCGAGTTGTTTTTACCAAAATATACAGTATGATGTTTATTTATAGTTACATATATTGTCAGACGCATCCTAACTATTATTTTTTATTATTATTATTATTATTATTGCCATTATGTCTGCAATGCTTACTGTCATTAAAAAAGATGCATATCATAGTTGTAAAAATCATTTTTTGACAAATAAAAGATCTGTAAATATTATATAAGAATTTTATTATACCTTTTTTACCTCCATTTGTACTTTAATCCTTTTATTGCTTTCAAGGTCTATTTTAGCATCGATAATAAAACCTAAAGGTTTTATAATTGCTTTAATGAGGTTGTCACAGCTATTATAAATCCTTTTGAATGAAGAAAAGGTTTTTTAGCGCAAAAATGGGATTTTAATAAGAAAACTGCATCTCTTAATTGGTTGGTCAAAACTAAAGTAAAGGACGAACAAAAATGCCAACCAAAACTGATAGCATAATCTGATTGTAGACTCTTTTGGTAACACAAAATCCCAGCTGATCCTTTATTAAAGTTTTGCATATTTCTTAGTATTTTAAAATTGTTTATGCCATTTCGATAAAATACTCTAGTACCATTATCAAATGTTTTTAAAAATTAGGCAGATACATGACTGAAATATGGATAAATTACATTATAAATACAAAATAAAGTAAAATACAGTTTGCAATATCTTATTTATTGTTTTAAGGTATCTAATACAAAACTAATAAATAACTAAAGATTCTTTGCAGCAAAATCGATTACTGCTTGCCTTAAATTTTCAGTAAAACTTTTACATGGAATTGTTTTTAACATGGAAACAGTATTTTTAAATTCTTCAGTCTCTGTACAAACATGCTTCTTACATCTAGCAATATCCCCTAGAAAGAAAGAGCATATCAAAACTTTAGTTCGTTCGTCCGTCCTCTTCCCTTAATCATAATTTTTATGCCCTTTATATCTTGCCATTTTGCAGATAAAGCACATACATTCTTGGCTGCCGCGAAATTCTCTAGCAATTTCTAAATTTTGAAAATTTGGCAATTGTGGCTATGGAAAAATACCGTTTTTACCATATTGAAGTAGGTAATTTTGACGCACTTAAGTTAAAGTGTTCGTTTGAAAAAGTCTGCATTAATTTTTATATTTTCTCAGAAACCCTAAACTCTGAATTTTTTGATAACCAAAAACAATTTTGTCTCCACAGCCAGCACATACCTTCTTTCGATTTTCTTCATGGCTTAACTTGAATTTAGGTTTAATTTTCATTTTAAAATACTATTTTTAACTTTATAAAGTATACATTAAATAAACAACTAAAGCAAAATGTCACTTGCGTTATAACGTATAGCAATTTTTTTCATAACCACCTTAATTATTGTTTTACAAAATTTGTTTTGAGTGGTAAAAATAATAAGTTACTCAATAAATTAATACTGGGGAGTAAATTTTATTAAAATTGTACAGGTAGTTTTAGTACAATAATTGCAAAATAATATATAGAAATAGAAAAACAAAAAAGTTTGCAAAACTTTAAAATAGGATCAGCTGGCATTTTGATTTTTTTATCAAGAGAGTTACCTTTTATTGTGTTTCCACAACAACAAACTGCTTTTGAGAAGCTATAGCACACAGGAGGATAATAAAGCAGATTAAAGTATTAGCTGTAAAAAGTACTTACAGAACCAGCAAATAGTCTTCCTTCAGAAATTTGGTTTTAACTGCTTCCATAAAGCATACTTTTTAAGATAGGCCTTAAGGGTCTCTTAAGTAAATAAGGTTTTATAAAGTAATATGGTTCTAAGAACAATTAATCTTTGTGATAACTCCTATAAACCCAAACGTGAGTTACTTGGGTAATAAACCACCTAAATGACTAAATGGGACTCTGGAGAATTTTGATAGGCAAGGGCAAGAATAGACCAATTAGGACCGCGCTGTCCACCTGCTAATAAGTCACCACGCGTCCAGGATTGTTTCGTTTTTCTCTGTTAAATGAATAAACTTTCTCATCAACATTTCTAGTAATTTTCACGTATTTCCCAGACCCTTCCAGAGACTGACCGCTGCGTCGGTTCCCCCGTCCTAGACCGTCCATCTTCGACGCAAAGCAGCCGCTGCTCCACGCCGTTCGCGCTGCCCTTTCACCCCAACATCCCCCCTGGGCTCCTGGAAGTCGGCCTGATGCATCCAGCCGCCCTGCTGGCCGAGGAGATGTTCCGCTGCTCCTCCTGTATGGCCGCCTTTCCCTCCTTGTGGCTTTTAGAGCAGCACACCGCCCTACAGCACATCGGATCGCTAGGCGAGATGGGTAAGATTTGAGGGCTTCTTTTTTAGAGGTGGTGCGTTTTGTTTGGGGTTTGGAATTTGATTTTACACACTGTTCAAAATTTCATAACCATTTTAACACCATACATGGTCTAAAGGGTGTATCAATAAGAGCGCAAGATTTGAATTTCGCCACAGTTTGGCCACCATGATGTCACATGATTAATGGGAGTTAGTAAATATGGAGCATTACACGATAGAACAATCCGTCCTGATTGTTAAACACTATTATCAAAATGATGAAAGTTTGATTGCCACGATTCGTAAAGGGCGTCCAATATTTGTTCGAAATAATGTTTCCTATTCATCTACTGTGAAAAGAATAATCAAAAAATTCGAAAGCACTGCTTCGGTTAGTGATGTAAACACACACGACACGAGCTCGGAGTCCAGAGACGTCGATTCGCCATCGTGCACAAGAATTGGACGTTACAAAAGCCACTCTTCAGCGAATTCTTACTATAGATTTACATCTTCATGCCTACAAAGTCCAATTGACTCAACAACTCCAGCCAAAAGACCATGAACAGCGAATAGAGTTCATGGTGCACCAATTGGATTCTTAAGCAGCAAGAAGTGAATGCCGATTTTGCGGACAAAATCATTTTCAGTGATGAGGCCCATTTTCACCACTATTTAACACCCTTGGACTTTTGGCTGTGGGGTTATTTGAAGTCATAAGTTTATGTCAACAAGCCCGCCACCATCGAAGCCTTAAAAGCAAAAATTAGACGCTCTATCAACGAAATACCGCCACATGTATTCAATAATGTTATTGCAAATTTTGCCAAAAGAATACGCATGTGCCAGTTAAGCCGTGGTGGCCATTTACCAGATGTGTTATTTTATACATAATTTCCAAATGTGTACTTTATAAATCAATAAATATTTCAATGCTTTATTTAATACTTAAAACCATGTTTTATTAAACTTTGAAATCTTGCGCTCTTATTGATACACCCTTTATAAATAAATCAACCTTTCTGCATATGGCCCTAACCAAAACGCGTCACCAAGTGATATTACTTCTATCTCTGAAGGTATTTTAGGTTCAATAGACAAACCTTTTGTGTGTGAGCAATGCGGGCAAAGCTATCGCTACAGATCCGCCTATGTGAAGCACCGAGAACAAAACCACCGTGCTCGTTTACCAGCCGATAAACTTTTTTCTTGCGACGTGTGTGGAATGCAGTTCAGGTACTTGAAGTCCTTCAAAAAGGTAGCTAACGTTAAAAGAAGAATAGTAGTAGAAAAATGTCTCTAAAATCTGTTTTCCAGCATCGTTTAAACCACGCCTTGGAAAAGCTGCACGGGAAAAGCGGGGAAGCACCTGTGAGAGAGCCGAGGGAAAAAAGCAGGGAACGGGAAAAAGACGAGAGCGATTGCGGAGAAACCTCAAAGCAAAGTAACCTGGAAAGTAGTGATCAAGTATCAAGTTCTAACGAAACTCTTACTGTTGAAGATGTCGTGGTGAAAAAAGAAAACATCACAGAGGATGCAGGTATGTGTTAACAAAAAATAAATTTTTTACCATTATTTTGGTGTCAATTTGATCAAAATCCATTCGGAAACAAGCGTTTTAGTAAATTTTGAAAATCCTTATATAAACTGTTGTAACTTTCTTATTTGTCATTGGATTTTATTAAAGTTGACACCAAATTAATGAAAAATCGTTGGGAAATATTATTCTATAACTTAATATTAGTTTGGCCATTTCTTTTATTGCACCAAGACCAGTTAAACTTAAAACAAATTATTTATTATAACAAAAAAATTAACTCATATTATATGATGTAACATATTTTAATTTTAATTTTCCTAGTGATCTTTTTGATATTTTTATCATGCTACATTTTACCACACTTCACTCGCGCAAGTGAAATCAATAAGATTATAACACAGACTGTGGATTATAAGGTTATGTTCGCCAAGGAGAGCGCTGGCCCTTTCCCTCTCTTTTTAAGGGAAATAACACAAATTTTGTTGCCATTGCAAAACAATGGTAAATATTAAAAAAGTCTTTTTATAGCAATAAAATATTTTTGTTATTCTTAGCTATTACACGGTGGTCAAAACTAAAGTATAGGACGAACAAAAATGCCAACCAAAACTGATAGCATAATCTGATTATAGACTCTTTTGGTAACACAAAAATGTATTTATCAAAATCCCAGCTGATCCTTTATTAAAGTTTTGCATATTTCTTAGTTTTTTAAAATTGTTTATGCCATTTCGATAAAATACTCTAGTACCATTATCAAATGTTTTTAAAAATTTGACATGACTGAAATATGGATAAATTACATTATAAATACAAAATAATGTAAAATACAGTTTGCAATATCTTATTTATTGTTTTAATTAATTAATACAAAACTAATAAATAACTAAAGATTCTTTGAAGCAAAATCGATTACTGCTTGCCTTAAATTTTCAGTTAAACTTTTTCTTGGGTTTTACTTACATGGAATTGTTTTTAACATGGAAACAGTATTTTTAAATTCTTCAGTCTCTGTACAAACATGCTTCTTACATCCAGCGATATCCCCTAGAAAGAAAGAGCATATCAAAACTTTAGTTCGTTCGTCCGTCCTCTTCCCTTAATAATTTTTTATACCCTTTATATCTTGCCATTTTGCAGATAAAGCACATACATTCTTGGCTGCCGCGAAATTCTCTAGCAATTTCTAAATTTCGAAAATTTGGCAATTGTGGCTATGGAAAAATACCGTTTTTACCATATTGAAGTATACCTATAGGTAATTTTGAATCACTTAAGTTAAAGTGTTCGTTTGAAAAAGTCTGCAGTAATTTTTATATTTTCTCAGAAACCCTAAACTCTGAATTTTTCGATTACCAAAAACAATTTTGTCTCCACAGCCAGCACATACCTTCTTTCGATTTTCTTCATGGCTTAACTTGAATTTCGGTTTAATTTTTATTTTAAAATACTATTTTTAACTTTATAAACAACTAACGCAAAATGTCACTTGCGTTATAACGTATAGCAATTTTTTTCATAACCACCTTAATTACTGTTTTACAAAATTTGCAAGTTGTAATTATTTCATAGACAAACTTCCAGTATTTTTTGTTATACAAAATATTTAAGATATAAATCTTCGTTTTTTTTGTTAATAAAATTTTACAGGTAGTTTTAGTACAATAATTGCAAAATAATATATAGAAATAGAAAAACAAAAAAGTTTGCAAAACTTTATAATAACAACTATTACTTTGTTGGATGAAATTTTTTTTTATAAAAGCTCAACTTTGCTGCTTCATTATAGTTAATGAGAATTTTATTTTATTTAAAACTTAAAAACATAACCTTAATTACTTACTACTAAAATGAATATTCATGCTTGTAACTTTCTTATTTGTAATTGAATGTTTATAAATTTAACACCAAATTAAAGAAAAAAACATTCAACTATAGTATTACATATTATATAATTGACTGCACTAAGGCGCCAAAACATCTGGATGCATTAATGAAGACGTTATTTCAAGAGACAGTCACAGCAATTTGTCAAACTTCATGACGTTGTTATAAAACTTCACGGTTCAAAAGTATGAAAGAAAAAGTAACGCCTAATGCGAGTATAAGTGCGCGTATATTAGTTATTATTTATGTGGCAATTACATGAAGTTTATTTTGCAAAAATTTGCACAGACTTAATGTCTGCAATAAAACCGCTGATGCGAACAGCAGGAAGCTTTATGATGGATCGTCATATGCATAGCGGTTCGCGTTTGTTTCAACGAAACAGTGTTGCCAAACGATATTTAAAGAAACTTTTGTCTAGAGGGAGCTGTGCGTAGATCTGGCAACCGCGATAGTTTATTACGAACTCATAAGTGGCTTATTAATTTTTTGTTGCGTGCGTTAGTATAAACGTAAATCGTATTAGAAAGGTTTTAGTAACCATTTTACTTTATTTGCATTACCTTGTGGGTGTGTGCACAAAGCATGGTTGAGGTTTGTTAGGAATTCTAACCCAAAAGTTGAAAATAGTATATTAAAGAACTAATGTCATAAGACGTCATTTTGTCGCACGCGGACAATTTGAAATAAAACGAGCGACGAAGGAGCGAGTTTTATAATGGACAAGTGCGACAAAAGGTCTTATGACATGAGTTCTTTATGCTATTTTATCTATTTTGCAAACATTTCATAAAACAAATTAATTTTATACCTTAAATTTAATTTGGTTAAATTTTACTTTACATAGTTGGTATCATAGATAACAAAGTTTGAAGTTTGAAAGGTCATTAACCTTTCAAACATTATCACATTCTTTCGCTATGGCGTCGTTAATTTACAATAAGTATTTACAATAAGCGGCTGTTAAAGAAGAAAAAAGGATTTTCTTTGGTGTTAAACAAAATTTATTACACGAAAAGTCTCGTAAGTACTAGAAAACAAATCATGAAAATATTATAACCTATAGGTATTCAAAATTGTATTTTACCAGTAGCCAACCTATAAAATCAAAATTTTGGGTGGAATAAAGTACCTCATTAAAGAACCAAAAGCGGTGTTATAATTAAGTCATTATGAAACCAAAATAGATAAAATGCGTTTATCTATTTTGCGTTCATAATGACTTCATTATAACACTGCTTTCGGTGCTGTAATGAGATACTTTATCCCACCCAAAATTTTGATTTTATAGGTTGGCTATACTTTAAACAGCATAATATTTTGCATATTGGTTATAATATTTTTATGATTTTTCTAGTACTTACGAGACTTTTCTGGCAATAAATTTTGTATAACACCAAAGAAAATTCCTTTTCTTCTTTAACAGTAACAGCCGCTATAAGTAAATTAAGGACGGCATGGCGAATCGATTTTGACATTAACTGTCAAACCAATGACTGTGATACCAACTATCTAAAGTAAAATTCGACCAAATTAAATTTAAGGTATAAAATTAATTTTTTTTAATGGAATTTTTGCAAAATAGATAAAATAGCATATTGTGAAATCTTTTTTTTATGAAGGTTAGTTAAGACATCTAAAAATATAATGATACATTATGAACGCAAAATAGATAAAATATTTTTTTAGAACTGTGCAATTTTACACGATTTATTTACCTGATTTATTAATAAGGAATTCTAAACCTTTCGTAAACTTCATTTAAATGACCCAAAAAACAATTTCGTGTTCAGCAAGCGTAACGCAAAAAAACTTTGGCTCAAAATTGGAGCCGTAAGGAAGAAAATGCAGTAAAATCAAATGCATGTTATCAGCATAATTTACTTATTTCTGGCATGCACTTTTCCTTTATTTATAGCACTGTAGCGTGATCTAATTTTTACCAACACCTTAATAAGGTTTGGAAAAACTAAAACGAAAAATTGCCGCTGTCTTAATTTTTATATATTTTTTAATTTTTATCATTAAGTCTGTTTTTATATTTTATTTTTTGGTTTAGTGCCATAAAGTTCAAAATTCCTGCGTCTACATTTTCAAAAAAACTTTTTCTTTCAAATCAGTGATAACTTTGAAAAAGAAAAAATATTAATTGAGATATACATATACAATGTAAGTCAAATACGCATATAGGTCAAAGGTTAAAGGTTGCCATTTTGTACCACAAAATTTTATTTTTTTAGGAATTTGAAAAAAAAACAAATTTTACAAAACATTTGAAATTTTAAAGTTTTTTTTATTTGTACATTTTTTGTAAATTTCAGAAAGTTTTTAAAAAAATGTTAATTTTTAAAATTTGAAGGTTCAGAAGAAAAATACAAAATGTTTTAAATCGAAATTTTTAAAATTCACACAGAAAAAAATCTAACATAGTACCAAGAACAAAGCTGTCATTGAATGCATTAAAATTAAAGCAATCTAAATTGTCATTTGCTCAATTAATTACTATTCAATCAAAATAGGGAACTATTTTGCATAAATGTCAAATAATTTATTGCGTTAAATGTATACATAGTATACATATATGTATACAATAGTAACGTTATTAAATAAATCAAATTAGTATTTAATGCAATAACATTCTAACAAATAAATATCAATATGAATATCAATAGATTTAGGAGCGATAACTTTTGTTGTTAATTTAAAAACAGTAAACGATTATAAACCAAGTGCTAACTACCTATTGGTGTTATAGGAACTGTTATTCAGGTATACGCATTACAAGATCCCATTGGTTTAATGGCTCACCCATTCATGCTATGCTAGAGTTTTTTCTGTGCACAATTTTTTTAAAGATTTTGATTTTTTGGGAATTTTTGTTAATTTTTACTTTAAATATTTAAAATTTCATTTTTTTTTTTAATTTTAAAGGTGTTCCAATAAAAAAATAAATAATTAAAATTAATAATTAAAAATAAGTTTTCAAAAGCTCCAACAAAAAAAAACATTTTTGTTTATTTTGATTTTTTTGAAAAATTTAAAACAAATTTTCATTTAAAATTTTTAAAAAACTTTAGAAAAATATTACAAAACCTCAACAAAATTTTTTAAATTCACGAAATTTTCAAGAATTTGATTTTTTAGGACATTTTTGTTGATGGTAATTGTTTTTAAAATCAACTTTATAATCCAAAATTTTAAAAAAATAAAAAATGTCAAATCAAAATTTAAGCAATTCGCAAAATTTTTAGTTTTTGATTTTTTTGTATGGGTCTGTTGATTTAAAAATTTAAAACAAAACCTCAACAAAATTATTTAAATTCACGAAATTTTCAAGAATTTGATTTTTTTGTACATTTTAATTGATTTTAAAATAAAACCAACTTTATAATCCAAAATTTAAAAAAAAAATAAAAATGTCAAATCAAAATTTAAGCAATTCGCAAAATTTTTAGTTTTTGATTTTTTTGGATGGTTTTGTTAATTTAAAAATTTACAAATTTTCATTTAAAATTTTTACAAAATTTTCTAAATTCATGAAATTATTAATAATTTGATTTTTTTGGACATGTTTGTTATATTTAATTGTTTTTAAAATATAGAGAAAACCAACTTTAGAATCCAAAATTTAAAAAAAATTTAAAATGTCAAATCAAAATGTAAACAATTCGCAAAATTTTCATGGTTTTGTTTTGTTTTGGATGGTTTGTTGATTTTGTTTTTGGAAATTTAAGCAAAACCAAGAATTTTTTAAAAATCACAAAATTTTGATTATTTTTTAGACATTTTTGTTCATTTTGATTTCTTTGAAATTTTTAAAAAAATTTAAAACAAATTTTCATTTTAAGTTTTTAAAAATTCACGAAATTTTCAATAATTTATTTTTTTGGACATTTTTGTTAATTTTAATTGTTTTTAAAATATATTATAATCCAAAATTTTATACAAATAAAAAATGTCAAATCAAAATATAATGGTTTTGATTTTGTGGATGGTTTGTTGATTTTGATTTTGAAAATTTAAGGAAAACGAAGAATTTTTTAAAAATCACAAAATTTTGATTATTTTTTAGACATTTTTGTTAATTTTAATTGTTTTTAAAATATAAAGAAAACCAACTTTATAGTATAATCCAAAATTTTATAAAATTAAAAAATGTCAAATCAAAATTTAATGGTTTTGTTGATTTTGATTTTGAAAAATTTTGCAATAAAACTTTATTACACGGGGAGAAAAGTATAATGCTGATTACCATAATTATAATACCCTTTACTATAATTTATATTACTATTTGGGACAACTATCTTGTATATTGCCAGATACTATGCATATTTAGTAATTTTTAAATATCCATGATGTTAAACCTTAAGGTAAAATATTATTAATCTCAATAAATTTTGTTTTTAATTCTTATTATAATTAGATTTTTTCCATTACTAATAAGTATAGTAAATTTTAAAATATTATGTTGCCATTTTATATATAAAATATTTTAAAATCGAATATTTGTATATGTTAACAATTAAAAATTATAACATATTTATTGTACTTTTTAATATACAAAAATGTTATGAGAAAGAATTGAACCTACACCTCGACAAAGTTTTTTGTTTTGAGTGCGTTCCATCAACTTCAAATACCGACAGACAGGTGTTTTGACCTATATTGGGTATCATCAGTGTCGACACGACACTGTCGAGCAACTTGTAGTAGTGGAACACACCCAAAACAAAGAAATACCTGAGCTTATATAACATGGTTGGTAAGCCAACAGAGGCGAGATGTAAGAACATCACGTGATCCACACCGTCTAACGACGCGTCGCGACGTGGCCTTTGCTGCAATCGGTGCATACTATGTAACCAAGTAGGTTCAATTCTTTCTTATAAGTATTACCAGTAATGGGTCAAGAAAGTTTATTGAAGAAACTAAGAAAATTGAATGTTTAAAATTTCATGAGTTACTATATTGTATATTATATTTAAATATATTGTTTATTTACCTTAAACATAAAAGTGTCTTTATTTTTTCTATATTTTTTATTAATGTGTAATATATTATAATATTAGATGTGCACTAGGGTGGGTCAAAAAAACCGACTCTTTTTTTTTTATTTTGTACTCTGAAAAATCGGTTACTAGACAACTCTAGAGAATTCTCACCAAACATGAGCTGTTAATTTTAATAACAAGGTCCTCCGCTTTACAATTTTTCATTTTTTCCTTAGTATTAGAAACAAAAATATATATCTCTTCGACAACTGTTCGTTAAAAAATAACTCTCCTCATATTCTTGTAGGAAATCGAACGCTGTACAAAAAAGGTCTCCTACAATTTTTTCGTAAACCACACCGTTAAAAAGATATCGAAGGTTAAAGATTAATTATTTTAAGAGAAATTTCTGTTTTGCTTATGAATTTTATAACTCGCTTACAAAATTTTTTTATGAATCGCCCATAGTTTTGTAGGAAATTAATTGCTCTACAAAAATGGTCTCTTATGATTTGTCGATTAAATTAAGCGTTTAAAAGATATTCATCGTCAAACTTCAATGCATACTAATTTTAACAGTTTTTGATGAATACCTAATTCGAAAAATTTCAATTTAATTTTTGAGTTTTACGAAAATTTATACAAATTTGAGTTCCTATGAAAAAAAAACTATTTTTCTCGTTTTTTTTTTAGTTCTACATATTATGTTTGGTTATATTGAAAAGAAAAATAGTGCATTATTTCTAACTCAGTCAATAATTTATTAAATTTTGAAAAAAATAACTTTTTTGTCATAAATTTAATATGAAAAGAATTAATTTTGAAGAAAAAAAAATGTTCTATTTGTTATTAAAAAGTTTCTTTATATAATTTTATCAACTGGAATAAAAATTTTAACATTTATAATATAATCGTACACTTTGACTGTAAAAAGTTTTCTTTATTACAATTTGGGTATTGTTTGCGATGTTCTTTTATAACTTGCAATAAATATTGAAATTGCTCTTCATTTTTTTTAAGCATTGGTTATAATCATCGACTAATGCAACAGCTCGCTTTGCCGAATCATTAACAACTTTCAATTGCTTATGATTTTAAGTTATTATAAAGATAAATTTCATGAAAATATTATTAAAATAAAAAAGTCTCAAATAAATTTTCGAAAGGGAAACTTCTATAAGAGTTACTTTTACGATAGAAACTCGAATTTGTATAAATTTCCGTAAAACTCAAAAATTAAATTGAAATTTTTCGAATTAGGTATTCTTCAAAAACTGTTAAAATTAGTATGCATTAAAGTTTGACGATGAATATCTTTTAAACGCTTAATTTAATCGACAAATCATAAAAGACCATTTATGTAGAGCAGTTAACTTTCTAAAAAACTATGAGTTGCGCGATTCATAAAAAAATTTTGTAAGCGAGTTATAAAATTCATAAGCAAAACAGAAATTTCTCTTAAAATATTTAATCTTTAACCCTCGATATCTTTTTAACGGTGAGGTTTACGAAAAAATTGTAGGAGACCTTTTTTGTAGAGCGTTCGATTTCCCACAAGAATATGAGGGACGTTATTTTTTAACGAACAGTTGTCGAAGAGATATAAATTTTTGTTTCTAATACTGAGGAAAAAATGGAAAATTGTAAAGCGGAGGACCTTGTTATCAAAATTAAGAGCTCATGTTTGGTGAGAATTCTCTAGAGGTGTCTAGTAACCGATTTTTCAGAGTACAAAGTAAAAAAAAAATAGTCGGTTTTTTTGACCCACCCTATTGAGTATTGTCATTTTGTGCGACTAAATTTGTATTTTTTTCAAGCCGAAGGCGCCTCGTCGGACGCCGAACGCACCGAGGCCGACCAGGACGACACCATCGACTCCATGGCCGCCTTCCCTTTCGCTGGAACGGCCGCCGCGACGGAACTGCTGCGCACGGCGCGCGAATCTTCCATCATAAACTTCCTGCGCGCCGACTCGGCTGAAAGGCAGCGCGAGCGCCGGTTCGCGTGCCCGTTCTGCGGCAAGTGCGTGCGCAGCAAGGAGAACCTGAAGCTGCACGTGCGCAAGCACACCGGCGAGCGGCCGTTCGTGTGCCTCTTCTGCGGGCGCGCCTTCGGCGGCAAGAGCGACCTGACGCGCCACCTGCGCATCCACACCGGCGAAAGGCCGTACCACTGCGACATGTGCGGCAAGTGCTTCGCTCGCGCGGACTACCTCTCGAAGCATCTCACCACGCACATCAACACGCCGCGCTGATGACGTCCGAAGGGGGAGCCGCAGGGGTCCGATCCGTAGCCGTTTCCTCGTCAAAGCTCTGCAGCGTTAGTTAAGCACGTTCCGCGATTTTTTTCTTGCTGACGCTTTCAAATCGCGCGGTTCCCGAAAAAGGTGATATTTTTTTTGTTTACGTTTTTTATAAATTTAATTTTAATTTTATTGAAAGTTGCTTTTCGATCGCCAGTAACTTTGACAGTATGTCCACGGATAGGGTTACAAAGAGGAAAAAAAGTTTATTGTACATTTCAAAAAATGTTATTTTTCATTTCAAATTTGCAATTTGGAAAAAATTCTACAAAAAATTACAATTCAAAAAAATATCATTTTAATTTTTTTACATTTTTGAAAATTTTGAAAATATTAAAAATCTTTTCAGTAAACAATTTTTAAAACTTTTTTGTAAATTTGTAAATCAAAAAAGAAATGTCAAACCAAAATATTGAAATTCGTAAGATTTTGATTTTTTTGTTCATTTTGACGAATTTTGAAAATTTTTAAAGCTCCTGAATAAATATTAAAAAATTACAAAATTTTTAAAATTTATCAAATTTTTTTAAATTAATAATAATAATAATAATAATAATAATCTTTATTGACGGATAATGACCATTACATTACAAAACAAAACAAAAAATAAAAATATATATACATACTAGGGTGGCCCAAAAAAAAAAGAATGTAAGAGCCCTGTCAAAATATCAGCTCAATTAAAAAAATTTTAGGGGTCGCTCAATACTTTTTAAAATTTTCAAAATCGTCAAAAATTGAATTTTTGTTTTATTTTAATTTTTTTTCTCGTCTCGATATTATTTTTTTGGTTGAAAATAATAAAAATTCTGTAAATTTCAAATCAATATTTTGATTTCTAAAGGTCGCTAAAAGTTCGTTGATATTTATATTCAGAGGTCGCTTGAAAACATTCCAAATATTTTACTTTGAAAGTTAAAAAAAACTTAAGCGACCTTTAGAAATCAAAATATCGATTTGAAATTTTCAGAATCATTATTATTTTTAAATTAAAAATGATATCGGAACGAGAAAAAAAAATAAAATAAAAAAAATCCAATTTTTGATGATTTTGGAAATTTTTTAAAATCTTGAGCGACCCCTAAAAAATTTTTAATGCAGCTAATCTTTTGACAGGGCTCTTAAAACATGACAAACCAACATATTTTCACAAGACGTCACCCTAATATAACAAGGTTGTATGTTAAAAAAAAACGAAAAATTTAAGTCTATGTTTCTACAGGATTATACGTGGCCTACGCTTCACATACCACTTAAAAATAATTCTATAGAATGTATATTCTATGTATACATATATATAGAGTTATTTTCAAGTTGTATGTCAAGGGTGAATTACATAAAACTTTGTAGAAGCATAAACTCAAATTTTTCGGTTTTTTAACATACAACCTTGTAGTCTTAGGGTGACAAAGACGCGAGAAAAAAAAATATTCTTTTTTTTTTGGGCCACCCTAATATACATACACTATACTGTATACACACAAATATATAAACAGTAAAAGCAAAAAATAACAATTAATTCAACATTGATTGCACATGATTATTAAAGCTAGATATAGAACAATTAAACAAATTTAAATCATATTGATTAGCAATTTTAATTTTAAATATTAGTTTTTTTTTTAATTTTGAAAATATTATAAATTTTGCCAGAAAACAATTTTCAAATCCAGAAAAAAAATATTTTAGAAATTTCGATTTTTTTATAAATTTTCGTAAAATTTGCAATAACAAATTTTCAATTTTTTTTGTGAATTTGTAAATTCAGAAAATTAAATTTTAATTTTTTTTTAATTTACACTAATCAAAATTTAAAGAAAAAATATTTAAAATTTTGTAAGAAATTTTTTTGCGTGATTTCAAACCCCCCTGAATATGCAACACATTATTTTTTAAAATTAGATATAAAATTTTCAAAACGTTTTTGTAAATTTGTAAATACAGAAAAAAAATGTTTTAAATTTTAAAAATTTTGGAAATTTTTGTAAAATTTGCAGGAAAAAATGTCAAAATGTCAAAATATCAAATCAAAATTTTTGAAATTAGGAAGATTTTGATATTTTTGGACATTTTGATTCATTTTGATTTCTTTACAAAAATTTAAAGAAAAATTTCGATTTTTTGAAGATCCAGAAAAAAATTAAAAAGTCAAATCAAAATTTTTAAAATTACAAAATTTTTAAAATTTACATTTACTTACATTTTGAATTTTTTGAAATTCAGCAAAAAAACAAAATGCAAAGAATTTGGTAAAAATTTTGATTATGAAAAATATCTTCCTCTTTGTTCATCTTAAAATAAATAATAATAAAACATTTTTATTTGCAAAATTTACATCATTCAAAATATTTTATGGTCTATAATAATAAAAAATTGTATAGTAAATGTTTAATATTTTTTTGAAGCAAATTTTTTGCAATATCACTTTTTTCGCGGACCCTGTACGTTGACTAAGGAAACCATCGCCAAATTATCTTCCAGTCTTAAAATAAAATGCACTCTTTAAGCTACATAAGATTTAAATAAACCGAGATGTCGTTTTTTCCTAAAGAATCTGAAAGTTCCTGTCAAAATATTCTTTGAAGCTGGTTTTTATTTGGTGCATTTTATTGGTTACTCGTCTTAACGATGGTTTCAGTGGACTTTTACGTAACGAAAACAGCACACAATTTGATGTTGAACTGAAGAAAACAGAAGAAAATGGAATTATTTCAGTACCGTCCTTATAAAATCAGCCTAAAGACGCATCGATTTAATGTTTATTTGGCTGTGATAAACTTTAGGTTCTTGTGATATACAATATGTAATTTTTTATTTACTTTTTTATTAATAACACAAAATATAGGATATAGGGAGTTGTTACCAAAATATACATACTTATATACATAGCAATAACAAAGGGAATTCCAAATGATTGAGTGATAAAAAATATGTTTTTTGGCTAAAACATATTTTTAAAGATGTTGGTGTTAGCTAGATATTTAACGGACTTAAATTAACCTAAAAGTGGCATTGTCAAAGTTCCTCTAGTCACCGAAGAATTTGAATCTTACTGCCGCCCATTACAAACCCGGCAACGTTGCACATGGGCCATAGACATTTTACGAAAACAAAACCCATAAACAAAGAAACATCGAAATAAGTACTCATAGCTATTTATTATTATTAATTATAATAATAATAATAATATATTATATTATATATTGTCTTGTGCCAAATTGATGTACCTCAAATATTATAAAACTTAACTTAAAAACTGTATCTATAAGTAGATGGTGTTACGAGAAGGTCCAATTATGATTCGTGGCTTTTTATACATCTTTGTTGTCAAGGTACTCAAAATTTTCAAAAAAAAAATTTCTTGATTTCTTTAAACATTTTTAGGAATTTACAAGACGTTTACAAGACGTTTAAAATTTTAAAGTTTGTTTTATTGAGGTTTTTAAAAAATTTTTGTTAATTTTTAAAATCAGTAGGTCCAGAAAAAAAATACAAAATGTTTTAAACCGTAATTTTTACAATTTTTTTAAAATTTTAAGATTTTTTTGGGAATTTCTTTTAATTTTAACTTTTATATTATATTAATTATATTTAAAATTAAAAGGTATTTAAAATTTCGATATTTTTTAAATTTTTTACAATCTTTGAAAAACCTAAAAAAAATTACTTAATCTAGAATTAAAATTTTTGAAAGTAACAAAATTCTCAAGAAATTGTTTTTTTTTACATTTTTTTAATTTTAATTCCTTCGAAATTCAAAGAAAACCAACTTACGAAACCAAAATTTTCACAACTGGAAATTGATCTTGATCTTGATTTCTTTGAACATTTTAGGAATTTAAAAACACATATTACAAGACGTTTAAAATTTTAAAGTTTGTTTTTTTAAGGTTTTTAAATTTTTTTTATTAATTTTTAAAATCTGAAGGTCCAGAAAAAAAATACAAAATGTTTTAAACCGTAATTTTTAAAATTTACAATTTTTTTAAGGGTAAGATTTTTTTTAGAATTTCTTTTAATTTTAACTTTTATATTATATTAATTATATTTAAAATTTCGATATTTTTGAAATTTTTTAAAGCTCCAATAAAAAATAAAAATCATTATTTTAAATTTAAAAAATTTCGATTTTTTTGAATTTTTTGTTAATCCAGTAAAAAAATACAAATCAAATCAAAATTTTTGATTTTAGACTTTTTTGTTAATTTTGATTTCTTAGAATTTATAGCAAACATTTACAATTTACATTTAAAATTAAAAAAAAAAACTTTTTTGTAAATTTGTTTTTTTTTGGTAATTTTTGTTTTTAAAGTTTTAAAAAATATCAAATCAAAATTTAAGTAATTTACTAAATTTTTTGGGTTTTGTTGATTTTTATTTTATTTTTTTTAAATATTTAAACAAAACTATAGGCTTAAAATTAATAAAATTTTAATTTTTTGACATTTAAAAAAATTTGACATTTTTTAAAAAAATTTGAAAAATTTATAAATTTTGCCAAAAACAAAATTCTCAAAACTTTTTGTAAATTTTTAAAATCTGGAAGCTCCAGTTTTTTGAATATTTTTGTATATTTTGCAAAACTTTAAAAAAAATTACAAAATTCGCAAAATTTTCAAGAATTTGACTTTTTGGACATTTTTTAATTTTTATTTCTTCGAAATTCAATGAAAAGCAACTTAAGAAACCAAAATTCAATCATAATTGGAATTTTTTAAAATTTTAAGTAATTACTAAATTTTTATGGTTTTGATTTTTTTGGATGCTTTTGTTGATTTTTATTTTGAAATTTTTTTAAAAATTTAAGCAAAACGAAAGATTTCAATTTTAAACAAAACTTCAGAAAAAAATTCACAAAATTTTAATATTTCGACATTTTTTTTAATTTTGGTTTCTTTAAAAACAGATTTTACAAGGAATTTTTTGAAATTTTTAAAAAAATATTTTTTTTTTTATATTTTTGCAAGAAAAAAAAATCCCAAAACTTTTTGTAATTTTTACAACCTTTGGAAAAGCATAAAAAAAGTACAAAATCTCAAATCTAAATTTTTAAAATCACAAAATTTTCAAGAACTTGATTTTTTTGGATATTTTATTTAATTTTGATTTCTTTAAAATTAAAGAAAACCAACTTAAGAAACCA